GTGTATAACAGCAAGTTTGCTTCTGATTTTTGTCTGTTTTGCATGGTATCTCTTCATCCCATTCTGTTGGACTAACTAACTACCCCTAAATGGAACTCTGATGTGTGACCTTCCTCAGATCAGGAGGGAATCAAAGTGGTTTAGTGGGTCACAATTCCCTACATACAAGTGCTTTGTCATAAGCTTTCACCAAGTCGTAAATCATTTTGAACTTTGATATTTGCAGGGCATTTTTAACAAATGCCACCGATAAAAAGAAAGCATTTCAGCCACATATCCTTTACCCCTGACTTCCTTGCTTTTTCCCCTCATTCTCTCTGTCTATCTCTCAGTCTGGTTCCTCTGCTCCTATCTCTTCCTCCAGCTCTCCTCATCTATCTCTGCCCCCCTGTCTCTTTTGCTATTTTTCTTTTTTCCTCTACTGTTCCCAGTGTGTCTGAGAGAGAGAGAGAGAGGCAAATAGAGAGAGAGACCGAGAGAGGCCTGACACATGGGCCCAGTTCCTTAATAATGTCATTCGGTGTGAACGCTATTAGCAGATTACCCTTGGCCCAGGGCAGCCTAGCCATGTGCAGGAACTAGATAACCTTGTGTTCGGTAATTTAATATCAACACTTCCCCTCTTTTCTTACCACGCTTTACAACACACAAATACCCTGCTTGTCCCCTCCGGCCCTATTTCTTGAAGAGAGAGAGAGAGAGAGAGAGAGAGAGAGAGAGAGAGAGAGAGGATTACAAGATAGTGACTTCTTGAAGATTCCTTTCCTCCGCTGAGGAGTGTGACAAATCGCCCCTTGTCCATGGATGTGAGAAAATACATAAACAGGCTTATAGTGAAAATTCCATCAGATTTAATGCAGTGAATTTAACTCAGCACAACATCAAAGGAGCCGCCCATCTTTTTAAAAAGCCCTAGATGGGGTAATGTCATTTCCCCCCCTCCTTCTAGTTTTTCTCCTTGCGGGCTATCATAGGCCTAACATTTACCACATATCAGGCCAATTTGAAAGGAGCAAAGGAAATTTCCTGTCACACAGTTTGATTCTGTAAGAGTGGGTGAGAGAGGCAGGGGCAGACTGGAAGGGAGAGAGAGAGGGAAAGAGATATCTACCACTTAAAGGAGCAAGCCGTTGTGGAATCAAATCCCACGCTCTATCCCCCACAAGCTGAATCACAATCCTGCATTAGCTGCTATATCACACTTCGTCCTGCTGCTGCTCCTTTTCCCGTCGCCCATGAGCCAAGCGGGAGTGAGAGGGCCAGACTAAGGCCCTATCATACACCGGCACTCTCTCACGCCGGCATTACCACGCCGTTATCTCATCTCCTGCAGCCCGGCATGGCCGGCCGCCTTTCGGTCCTCCAGGCTACTTTACTAATAACCTATTCCTTATCAGTCACTGTGCACCTCTGCCTGTGATCAAAGAGCCAATTAATGGAGCGGGGAAAGGTGAAGCATTCAAATAATGGAGACAGCTGTTTTTCTCTGTTTGAGAAAATCCATTTTGTATTGTTATCGGCTCCAAGCAGTTCCCCCCCGACCAGTGCTTAATTCAAGTCGCTGCCTGCTTCTGCCTGGCTTGATAAGAGAGAGTGAGAAAAGACAGGGGAAGGGAGAGAGAGAGATGAGGGGAAGAAGAAAAGAGCCCTGGTCACAATGAACTTTATGTAGAAGAATGTGGCAGGAATATCACAGCAGTCCAACTCATCCCTGAGCTTTATCAACTCCAAAGTGGTTCAACACAGAGATAAAGATGGTTTGGGGGGGTGGGGGGGGGTCATAAAAGGCAGAGTTTCAGGAGCTGACAAGCTGCTTTATGGCTTCACTGTCATTTGATTTGAAAGGGAGCAGCTGATCTCGGCTCTTTCAAGTCCAGCCTTGTCAGGCAAAAACCTGAGGTTAGTTAGGAGGTTAATTATACTGGTGACAGAGCTATATAAATAGCTCCATCAAAGGCTCATATCTTAACAGCTTTGTTGTAATATATATGAATCTCCTTAATTTGAACAGTTCCTTTAGCCCTGTCACTATGCTTGGAAACACTGTAAGGCGTAGGGTAAAGTTGTTGCACCAGTTGTCTGAAATGGATACATCTCTCATGGAGTCAAAAGGCTGATTTGCTTCTTAAATTAGTAAGCAATTAGTCATACATCCTCAGAAATCCTAGTTGCCATGAAAAGATAACAACTATTTAAAAGGACACACAGGTCTAGCTGGTTGTTATAAATGTACTTCGTCTTTCAAATACCTTGAGACTGCCATGCATCCTCAGAATCAATCAAATATGGCGGCTGATGTTTGTTCTCTCAAAAGTCCACTTGCAGATGGAAATGATATTTTAAGGCTAATACATACGACTCAACTCTACACAGAATAAAGTCTGATGACTTGAACTCTCAAATGGTGGAAACTTTTTTCATCGCTACCTTCCATCCTACATGAAGTCAAGACAGCATTACATCGGGCTGACATATTTCTAAAAAAACAATAGAGCAAAAATATAATAATGTTTGCAAGTGCTTCATTTTTTCATTAAAGTAGGGTATATGTGTTTTTGTCACAGCTGAGGAAATGCAGGTTCTGGTCAGGGCAAGACAGAAACTAGGACGAACTGATAAAGGAACAAAGGATCAGGCTGGTTTATGTAATGAGTGACTGATGAGGGAAGTGAGAACTGTGAGCAGGTGAATGAGGAAGTTCGGAGAAAAAGTCTGAGGGTACGGTAAGGAAAGGCAGTAAATGGTTTTGAGGAATTGGGAGACTGGTGAGATGGGTTGGGCAGTCAGGTGATATGGGAAGGAGGGAAAGTATGAGAGTATCTAGTGGATGGATGGAAGAGGGAATGTGGCTGGAGACACTTTGCGGGATTCGATCCTGTGTATCTGTTGCGATTATTTAAATCCTACTTTGGATTTGTGACATGTAAAATCATGATTCCAACCATGAAAATAAAAGATCAGGTGTGCAGAGTCCAAGCTTTGACTGTGTCTCCCTTAAGAAAGACAGTGAGGTCCGAGGTCTGTAGACAGGAAAAATAGCCAGCAATGTGGAAAAAGGAAGCGGCTGTGTATGTACTTAGTCATACTTTGGGTTTCAGTTATACAGCCTGCATGACCATCAACAGATTTTCCACTTATTACTGTTTGGATGGCCACTCACATTTTAAATGGGAATTGATTACTTATTGAGTCACTTGTCTGATACAGGACTGGGGACTGTTATGTCACACTTGAATCTGTTCATATGCTAAATTATCTGAAATTTAAATCAATAAAACAAACAGTAAGAAAAAACCTGAAAATGGGACGTTCTGAACAACCGCTGACAGATGTGTTGACAGATTCTGACTAAACCTCTACAGTTTAGCATGATGGTCACACAGCTGGTTTTTGCTTCAGAAGATTCATTTCAGAAGATGCCTCTACAAGGTACATTTATTTATCATACTACACAGGGCTGCGCAATGAAATGAAAAGTCCCTTTTAATGCTAAACATACAGACATACACTGATCAACCAAAACATTATGACCACCTGCATAATATTGTGTAGGTCCCCCATTTGCCACTAAAGCAGCCCTGAACCATCGAGCCATGGACTCCACTACACCTCAGAAGGTGTGCTGTGGTATCTGGCACCAAGATGTTGATTGGATTGGATTGAGATCTGGGGAATTTGGAGGCCAATTCAACACCTTGAACTCTTTGTTGTGTTCCTCAAACCATTCCTGAACCATATTTGCTTGGTGCAGGGTGCATTATCCTGTTGAAAAAGGCCACTGCCATCAGGGATTACCGATTCCATGCAAGGGTATTCATTCTTTTGACGTGTACTGACCACTGCAGACTGGGTAACCCCACAAGAGCTGCAGTTTTGATGCGCTGACCCCGTCTAGCCATCACACTTTGGTCCATGTCAAAGTCGCTCAAATGCTTATGCTTGCCCATTTTTCCTGCTTCTAACACATCAACTTTGAGGACAAAATGTTCACTTGCTGCCTAATATAGCCCACCCAGTGACAGGTGCCATGGGGGTCCAGAAACCAGTCAGTATCTGGTGTGACCACCATTTGCCTCACACAGTGCAACACATCTCCTTCACATAGAGTTGATCAGGTTGTTAATTGTGGCCTGTGGAGTGTTGGTCCACTCCTCTTCAATGGCTGTGCGAAGTTGCAGTCAGGTCAAGACCCCGATGAGGATGATGAGCATGCAGATGAGCTTACCTGAGACGGTTCCTGACAGTTTGTACAGAATTTCTTTGGTTATGCAAACCGATTGTTGTAGCAGCTGTCCGGGTGGCAGGTCTCAGACGATCTTGGAGGTGAAGATGCTGGATGTGGAGGTCCTGGGCTGGTGTGGTTACACGTGGTCTGCGGTTGTGAGGCCGGTTGGATGTACTGCCAAATTCTGTGAAATGCCTTTGGAGACGGCTTATGGTAGAGAAATGAACATTCAATTCTCGGGCAACAGCTCTGGCGGACATTCCTGCAGTCAGCATGCCAATTGCACACTCCCTCAAAACTTGTGACATCTGTGGCATTGTGCTGTTTACTGTGGCCAGCCTAAGGCACACCTGTGCAATACCCATGATCAGCATCTTGATATGCCACACCTGTGAGGTGGATGGATTATCTCGACAAAGGAGAAGTGCTCACTGAGATCTTTGAGTTCAGCTCAGCTCATGAATGGGGGCAAAAACAAAAGTGTTGCGTTTATAATTTTGTTCAGTGTATATAGATATATTACACCTTTGTGTGACCTATAAATGCAGCGTTTTATTTGAAGTCTGTATAAGCTGAGATAATCAGACATCAACTGTGTTAATTTTTCAAACTTTAAAAAGCTTCCTCCAAAGCCACAGGCTTTCTCAGGCTGAGTGGTACCCCTGGTGACATGTACACTGAACTGTACAGTGTCCCTATCAGTTTGGTATTTTATCTAGATAGTGTTGCTAATCTTGGATCCTGCTGTTGTAATGAAAGAAGATAAGTCTCAGAGTCAGGTATTAACATATTTATTACACCGTTAAGAGAACAACAATACCAGAATTATACTGCAAAGTTTCACAGACTGACAGACCATAGTTTACAGCCCAAAAAAAGAATTAAAAAAAAAGAAAACAAAAAGAAAAAAATCAACAAGAAACCACAGTTCTGACATAGTAGACTGGAAAGCTCTCTAGAGGACACTGACCCTAGGCGATGGAAAGACCGCCCAGTGTCAGCCTACCACTAACCTGTGGTTTTCATGTCTCAATTAAGTATTGCACAACAACTTCAAATCATTTGAGCTCTTTTTTCCACAATAAAATTTCTCAAGAGAACGCAAAAAACGAAACCCTCCCACCCCTGAAGTTCAGCTCACTCCCCCAGATTAATGCTACGGCCTTCACTGTTTTCCCCACACATTTCCCCATTGTTTCTTCATAAGTAGGAAATTTAAATAACATTTTCTCCTATTGTGAAAAAAACAGGCATGTCTAAATTCATAGCCTTCACTTTTTTAAATTTTAGATTTTACAAGCTTTGCCTTTTGTATATGCCCCCTTCTGAATTTACCCCCGCTGACGAGTTCGACAAGCACTTTAGCATGTCTTCACAACAGAGAAGAGGAGAAAAGGGCGGAGGGGAAACAGGAGAGCGAGAGAGAAACAACATTTCTTAACTGTGACCTTAGCTTGTATCGTCGAAATAGGAATCGACACTTTTCTTTAAAATTAGCACAATTTTTAAAATCTGTTCAAACTATTCAAACTCTTGATGTACTCTAGAAACGCCACAGGCATAAAGGAACATAACAAAAATTTTTTTTTCTCATTTCTATTCATTTATGTTTTATTTATTTATGAGGTCTGCATTGTTACCAAGTAGTGATATGGTTTTGCAGCTGTATGAGCTTCGACTTTGGGTTTTTTATTTTCCTGTTCTCTTGTGCCCATTTGGTTTAGACTAGACCAGTATCAGCGCCGCGACTGATGCTCTTATCGTGCTGTAAGAGGTAGAGTGAGACTTGTTTGCCACCGAGGAATTTGTAGCAAAACACACATAGAAGAGGGAAGAAAGAAAAAATAGAGCTTCTCAAAGAATCATTGAGCGATAATGTTTGCCTTTGTTTTTTTCTCTTTTTTTTAACCCAGGTTTTTTTGCCCTGATAATGATGAACACACATGTTATTTGTTGTATACTTTCAAATACACTAGTGTTAAAACAGCTTGGCTGTTTCGTCACAGCTTCTAAGGAGTCGCTAGTAGGGTGTCAGACACCTTTTTGGATTGTTTAACCCTTTAGAGTCATGAATGCAGGTGTGTATTTTGTTTAGACAAGAAGGGAGAGATGAGGAAGTACAGAGGGAGCAAACAGCCCGGAACCTTTGTGGGCCTCCACTTGTTCCTTGAGGTCAGAATTTGTAACGCGCTTCTGTGTAGCACCAAGGTGTTTGGGGTGAAAAGCCTTTGTGTGCGTCAGGGTAAGTGCTCTCTTACTGCGAATGAGAGGTTTGTTTGATTTACATTGAAGGTTTACAACAAAGCTCCAACTGATTATCTATCCCAACAGCAAAAATGACATACTTTGATATAAATAAATATAAAACAACTGCAAATGGCATTGGTGTGAAAGCCCAGTCTCACATTCACCTCTTGCTGCTTAAAGCGGAAATGGGCATCTGACACTTGTGTAATGAGAAAATGTACAAACAAGATCAAAAAATATCTCAAAGATTTTCTTCAAAAATGCCTACAGAAGTCATCAGTGTTCATGTCACATTAGTTATTATTGCTCCAGTTAAAATGTAACACTGCTGTGAAATGTTCATTATGTTTAATTCACACCTTCTCATTTCACAATGACGAGTGCTGTTGGGGTGGGAATTTTATGACACTGAAGTTGGTTTTGTCCCATGAACGGGTGAACAAAATCTGCAGAAATAAATAACCAAATATTTGTGTGAACAAACCTCTTTTGAAAATCGTTTAAATCAGGATTTTGGTCCTTGGTGTCAGTCTTTGGCTGTTTTTGGTGTTTTTTTTGTTTATCTCTTGTGTTAATACTGTGTTTTACCTGGTGCTTTGCAGTGTTAAAGCTGTCAATCGGACTCTACACCTCTGCATTTGGAAAGTTAGTTTGTTAGAATATTTTTTGTATTTTTTTTACTTTTTTTGGTTGTTTTTCCAGTTTTTCTAAAAAATAACAAATATTTAACAAACGTTCAGTAATGTGCATGCACTGTCTGTAACTATTAAAAAAAAAAAAAACATTTTTATGGCCGCTTTGTTAGCATATTGAGAAGGAAAAAAAAGTGGGTTTGGTGATTTTATATTTTTCCAACTACCCCCATCCCAAAGAATGTAAAACCAGATAATTCTATCACTACATACAAAATGGTTGATGAATTATGGCTCTATACCAACAACACAAGTAGGTCTATGCTGAAAAGAAGCATGCCGAAATAACCTCTGTGACAGTGCAAATACATTTATGTATGTCCCTTGTACAAAACATTTAGGTTAGCATTCCGCGCAACATGCTAGTTCTCAGAAAAGATCTGGGTCAGACTCAAGTAGCAGCTCTGAGATATAGCTTGTGTCTTTTCTTGAGGACAAAGGGAAGTAAAACTTATAGAACTACGAGGGATCTACCACTTACACACAGAATAGAAAAGCAGCTTGGAAAAAAGATAACACTTCTTTTTTTTTTATCTCTTTTTGCACCAGCTAGCGAGAGAGATTTATGAAGGACTTAGAGTTGTGACTGGTTGAAGTACTATGCATTGTCACAATTGCCCAACACATATACAATAAATAACCATTGGTGACACCACAGGACAGAAGTCTTAAACACCATGACATCTACAGAAAAAGAATAAGAACATGAAGAAAGATGAAAATGTTTTTCAAAGGTGAGACAGGAGGGGAGCGCCTCGGCTGCAGAATGAGCTCCATACTGAGTTCTGTAGCTTTTCAGCTCTGAGTGGCCCAGCAGCTGCTGTTGTAGTGATTTGACAGTCTCACCGGTAAGGGATGATGACATCACTTCCTGTTTGAATGCTTCTATGACCCACCAAGCATGCACATGCGAATTGCAGTCAGTACATTCTCCACATGTGCGGTGGGCAAAGTTTGTATCTTGTCCAAGAATTCTTCTTTTACATCCTTCAGGGAGACAGATTTGTATTTCCCAGCCCACTGACCTGGATATTATTACAAGTGAGAGGGAAATAACATTGGTTGAACAGCTGGCTCTGCTTGCAATCTGCTGCACATCTGCCCAGTTCGTGGCGGTCTGTGGGCCAGAGATTCAATCCATCCCCCTCCTCTCTCCAGGCAGCAAAACTTGTTTATCTATCCACCCGTTGGTGTGCCTGTCAGGAAATCTAATGTCTTTCTTTAGAAAGAGTATTGATTACTTCAGTCATTCTAGCTACATATGTTCACTTGGTATGCTGTTTGGTAAAATGGGGTTGACTAGTCTCATGTCCCAGGTACAGGAAGGAAATAAGCATTAATTCAAGGATGGAAAATAAAAACATTTAAAAAAAGGGGAGGTCAGATATACTTATCTCGAGTTCACGGCTATCTCTGCTCAGTCTTTTATTATTTACAGGAAAAAATAAGATAAGCTACGATGACAACAACGTTAACAACAACAGGCACCACGACAAACAGACAACAAGAATAGCAAGTGTAACGATAAAAGGATATCAATATTTAAATTCATTCATTCAAAACAAAGAATATCTTTGTGTATCTTTAAAGTCATGGCAAGTCAATATGACCTGATTATGGACCTCCTCCTCCTCCTCCTCCTCCTCCTTCTATGACTATGCTGCAAGATAGACAGAAGACCTCTTTCTGTTAGCCACGTTAGCTTAGTATCTTTGCAAGGCAATGTAAACAGTCATGCTGTTTGTGGGGTTGAGGGCTGGCTGTAAAGCCCCTGGAGGCATTTGCCTCCATCTTCTGTCTGAGTCTCTTAGCGCGGTGTGCCATCCAGGGCAGAGGAGGACGGGGTGCTGGGGGTAGAGGAGCGAGTGGTAGCAGCAGGCGGAGTGGCAGCCGGACTCCCAGTTCCGCTGCTCGGAGTACAGGCAGAGCTAATAGGAGCAGGGGTCTCTGAACCTGGGACGCTGCCCTGCTGCTGGCTGGCTTGCTGCTGCTGCTGCGCCTGGAGGGTCTGACCACAGACATGGTGGTGCTTCTCCCAGTCCTTATGCTGGCAGAAGGAGCCACAATAGCGCGCCGTGTTGCAGCCGCTGCACGTCTCACTGGCTTTGCGGCCACAGTTCCAGCAACTCTGACAGACAGAAAGATACACAGTTAACTAACACAAAAATAATACAGCAGAAGGATTTACAATCAGACAGAGAATTGGCCAGTACAGCTGATGAACTTCTGATAATTGCTAAAATGTAATTAGGACGCCTTGCTTTTCTTTATTCACACAAAAAGATAATAATATGTTTGTGATAGGAAAATGCCTGGTTGAACAGGACATGAAGATTAGCAAGAGATACCAGTGCACCAGTCTGCACATTAACAGAACTAGCCTCTGCCTTTGGTACACTTAACTTAGCTTAAAACAAACCACAGACTGATCAAAAACCCATCTCTGATTACACTTAGGGCCTCTTATATATATTGGAAACCGCAGGGAAAGCATGTCATGATTACTGCATATCCACGGGAAACCTGAGAACAAGGTTGCAAACAGCTTCTGAAAGTTCTCCTCTGAGGCGCTTCTCTCTCATAAACATCACTCCTCCAATTAATGACAGATGTGAGACATATTTCCCTCTCACTTAACTGATTAAACGTCAAGGTCTCCAATGGTGATTAGCAAATAAAAGCTCCTTCCCTTATTTCCTCTCTGTTGAATTGGTAACACCTTTCTAAACATGCTAGCTACTCTGTCAGATAAAAAAAAATAAGAAGGAGGAAAGCGAGGGTAATAGCTGCTTGTTTGACCTTGCTTAGCTTTGTTTTGCTCTCTCTCTCGGCACTGTCTCCTGACTACAAAAGAACTTCTATTTGCAGGAACACTTTTAAACCTGTGAATAATCAGCAACCTCTTCGGTATTTGAAAGATAATCCTCAACGCTTTTACTGATACAATGATAAAATACAACAGAATTTCTTTGTAAGAGAAGATCCTATCATCTGTGTCATTTGGGAGTCACTACAACAGCTGATAACAAAAGTATCATCAACAAAGCAATACCATAACTACCAAACAAGAAGATGGCGGCTTTCGAGATGTGTTTGAAAGATTGATGGTACACCTTTTGTCTGTGTATGTTCATACCTCACTGGAGTCCTCCTGTTGGTTGATTATGGAGAGCGCATCCTCAGCTGCCTGTCGCTTGGCCTCGGCTACCGTACGCTCCATTTTGGCCCGCTCGCTGCTGATCATCTCATGAGCCTTTCGTTCAGCCTCTGATACAGCCTTCTGCAGCTCTGACATGGCCTGTCGCTTCACCTCATTCACAGCCTCTTCTGGAAAGAGTGTGGACACAGAGGAAGTCAACCCTCCCGTACCTGCAACATAATGTGTATTATATCATCCTATCCTTGGAAGAATTCACGTTTTTACACAGGAATGAGTGTGTATATAAAGTCAGATTCTTTGCAACGCACTCAAAACTACTGTGTGAAAAAATGTGTGTCTGCCATTTGAAACACCATAACATTTTTCTGAAATAACACATAGTTTCATCTCAACTCATAACAAGATGTTTCATCTGTTACATCTGTATTGCATCTGCGAGATACACGTGTAACAATAAAACTGAGTTTGCTCATTTATGTGAGATACCTACTTTGTAGTTCTGGAGATGATAAGAGTGAATTTGCACAGCAGAGAAAACTTATGCAGTTTTTGTATTTATTAGCTTTTTTTACTTCAGGATCAGTTGCATATGGGATACACCAAATTTAACCAGACATCAATTTTTAAATGTGGTAAATGCAGGATAGTGGGTACATTAACACATGACACATCGATTGCTTTCAATTATTTATTAAAACATTCAGGAAGTAATGTTTAACAACCAATCACTTTTGCATACCCCTTCCTAATTACTACCCTCTTATGATAGTGACTGTGGTTTAGTGTGTAATGTTGGAATTTAAAGGTTGAACTGATCGCATTTGATTATGAGCAAACAAAATATTTTTTTTCTTTTAATTTGAAAAATATCCTCAAGACAACAGCATGAGCCAATTAATCCCAGGTAATCACTCAGAAAACCTGCTTTAGCTGGAGCAATGTGTTATTTTATACTTGTTTTGTGGAATGAATAACCTTGCCACGCGGGTGTTAAGCGGTGGAATTCCAACAGAACGTCAAAGCAAAAGGAGGGCTTTTTGTTTGCTCCCATCAAGCCTGTAACTTGACTAATTGTGTATGCAAATCAGGTAATTTATATTTAAATTATGCATTTCCATTGTGATCCCAGAGGCCCATGTGGTGAGGGGAAGTGGGAAACCGGTAGGACACCGTGCAAGGTGCTTGAATATTTATCACCAACTGTAAACATTTTGCCCATTTCAAACAGATGTATTCACAGCCACACTTCATTGTGTTAAAAATCCTATTTTGCAATCCTCCCTGGGTCAAATTTAGATCAGTCTCTCCTCAGCCAAAATATATGCGACTCAAATGAAAAGGATGGCGGAAATACTAAGAAGAATGCAGAGAGAATGAGAAATAGCAGGCACCATTTATCCTACAGGCAAAAGATAAATTCAGCTTAATGTCTGACAAATATGCATCACTTTACTTCATTTTCTTTGTACACAACATTTGTATTACAATTGCAAAATCCGTTTTAATATCACGCAGAATGTGTGCCTTCATAAAGACAGACACATTTTCTCTCCATCATGATTGCGCTACATTTTTAAACCAAGGTGGTTTCGTCTTTAACCTACTGTGCTGCCTGAAGTCATGGAACTTGCCACGGTGCAGTGTGATATATGCCTTGTGCATGGAATTGTGATTACACACCAAATGCCTTAGATGGAAGATCGATCAAAGCTGGCGAAGGGAGGAGAATACTGGAAAGCAGGCAGAGTCCCGATGGTGATACTCAATTCAATTTAAATGCATATTACTTGTTCTGAGTATCACACACATCATGCTTGGTCAAGCAAGGGGACAATTTCTTTTCTCCAAGGGGTTTAAAAAGCAGATATACTGTATCACCGACAGTGAATACAAAGTGGATTTCTCAAGCATCAAACCGTAAGCGGAAAATTCTTTCAGTTTTTCAGGATAGCAAAAATGGTGATTGAAACTGCACTCATGAGGTTAAAGAATGCTGTTTATGTACGCTACAAAATGTAATGCCAACTACTGAAAACTGTTAAAGCAACAAATTAGTTTCAATACTTGATCTTAACTGGCTCTACAAACTCCCCTGTACTATTATATAACACTTTCACTAAATAGCTGCAATGTCTGTTGCTAAGGGGATTACAAAAGTGCCAAAAGCAAAAAGATACGTCTTGCTACTATACTTTCAACAGCAGAACCACTGGACCAGCTGTAAAAGCTACTCTTGTCCCTTCTTTGACTGGAGCAATAAAATTGTTTTATGACCTGACATCATATTTGGAGAGTGTTGAGTGTGGTGGTGAAACTCTTATTTTTTAACGTCCTACTGTATCAAATATAAATGATTTTCTATGAGTAGCCTGACACATTAATTCAAGTCTACCATGGGAGTAGGTTGCAGACAGCAGACTACATTGGGATGAGAGGGGAGAAGGGGTTTAAAGGAGCGCCTCTCATCCACTTCCAGCCCTGAGTCATCTTGATGAAAAAGATGGCCTTGATTTCTACAGAGCAAAATGTCGTAAAAAAACAGCAGAGAGATAAAGAGAAAGAGAAAGTGTGTATGTGTGATGACGGCAGGCGTGGAAGTGCTGCTCACCAGCTTTCTTCCAGATCTCTTCAGGAACGTAGCCAGACACAGGCCGGTGCAGCAGTTCCCTGTGAATTTCTGAGAAGACACAAACACACAGCCATGGTAATCAGAGATTAACCAGTGGTTTGCATGACATAACCCAAAGATTGTAGAAGAAACCAGCATTTTGTAAAGCCTGTTGGTTACTCTGATGTTTCCACCAAAAGGTTTAAGGAATAAAGCAAAACACTGTTTTGATAAATGATGATTTTGCTAAACTAGTGAGATGTAAAATGGTTCAAGTTTTCAAGGGACTGGAAGATGTACAACTGACTATCATTAGTATAATCATAATAACATAGATGATATGCCCTACTGGCAGCATATGCAAACTTAACAGTAGAGGACCTAGAATTGAACCCTGGGGAACTCCACATTTACTATCAGCCTTTCTGGAGAAAATAAAAAATAAACACCATAATTTTCATGTAGGACAGAAACAAGCTAACGATTTTAGTTTTAATAATTAATAATGAGATTGTCAGATTTGGGCTTCTTTAATAGTGAGGTAGGTTGGAAGATGTATGTATGGTCCCTTACCTGATGTTGCATTTTCCTGTGCGGCTGGGCTCTGCTGCCTTGACTGCCCACTCGTGGCACCCTTCTTTAGCTCTTCAGCATCGCTGTATCGTCGGATCCAGTAGTTGAGCTCCTCGCGGTCGGCCTCCTGGCACCGCCGCAGTACTGTCAGTGAGCGCCTTGTCTTCTCCACCATGTCCATGATACAGTTCAGCAACTGAGGGTGACAGGGAGTGGGCAAAGCGCTGAGTTTACACATAGGCATGTATGGATTGATTTAAATTCAGCAAGGGTGTAGTGGCGAAGGGTGGGGTTCTAAATTAAACACGACATACTGTATGTCTTGTTATTTTAGTAAGTGTATCATTATTATATCATATATCTGTCTCGTGGAGTTTGATAGTGAAACACGAGATGTACATTTTGGAGTCACACTCTCACACTTGAAATGTCGAACATGTTTGTATGGTTACACCTCTCTGCTTGACATTTTACTTAAACATTACTTGATTCACAAATGTGACACCTGATGTTCTGTCTTGTTTCATGTAGTTTGAATGCAGTAAGTTACAAACTGTAGGTTTAAAGGGACTGGATTAACAACACTGAAGGTGAACATGTGAGCAATAATGTATCGATATTTATAATGTACAGTATATTTGTTGCAATGTAGGCAAACATATTTACATGCAAGCATATACACACAGATACACGTCTCTATTCTATACATAAAAAAACATACTTTGATATACATGGAGTATCAAAGCTTTCTTTAAATTTATCTCGACATTTAAAAAAAAAAAACTTAATGTGAGTGAAATGAGGACTTAGCTAATCCCTGTTACCTACAGAGAAAGAATTATAAGGTATAGTAATAAAAAAATGTTATTACTTTTCTTACATGGTCAAGGTGCTTCCACTCCTCAGCCCACTCTCTGTCTGTCAGCCTGTGGTCAATCACTTCCTCCTGCCTGGTCCCTGCATGCATACCTAAAATAGATAGATAGATAGACAAATAGAAAGATAAACATAAGGGCAAGTCAGTATGACACAGAGGATCAATGTAACAATACTCCATCGCTCCCATACTCTCCCTTTCATCTATCCGTCGTTTGGTCCCTGTTTGAAACTCTCCATCCATTTTTTCCCTCCCTCCCTCCTCCTCCCTCAGTTCCCCCTTTTCTTTGCTGTCTCCATATCTCTATCCCACCCTGAGGGCAGGACTCAAATGACTGAGCTTCTAGTCCAATAAACATCCATCACAAGGCGAGACATGGTAAATGTCTCTCCATTTTTAGAACTGAGCCAAAGTCGTCATTACAGCTTCATCAAGGCTTGCTGTACGCAGAAAAATGTCTCTAATACGGCCATACACTGTGTCTGAATGCGCTTATGTTGTGCACTCATACATCTAACAGCACATTACTTCCCACAGCCAGGCTGCAGTGGCTTTATTTTGTGCTTTCTGAGGCAGCAGGATGGCCTTGTGGTCAGAGACTGCTGTACCAACAATCATCCAACAGACTGAAGTGGACATTGACTGAGTATCATTATTATTACATTTACAGATCTCAGTGGTATATAAAGAAGTGAGAAGCCTGAGAAATGATGAAAAAATGATGTAACTGTTGTAACTTCTGTATATAAAATCCTCTTTATGTTTCTCGTGGTGCTAATACAGAGTAAAAGCTTTGACAGCATGCCATTAAGTGGGATTGGTTTGTGTCTCTAAATCCAAATGTATGTACACACAGACATGCACACACACACACACACACACACACACACTTATATACACTCTCCATCCTCCCTCATGTCCTCACCAATAGGTCTGGCTCTCTCCCGGATCTCACGATGATTGGAGGCGGGGTGTCTGTAGCTGTCACGGTAGTGATGGGCAATGGCCATATCGTCTAGCCTGTAGTGCTGTGGAGGGAGCGGGCCCGGGTGGGGCAGGCCATTGGGTTGGTAGGAGATCCCATTGGATGGGCTGAAGCGCTGGGCAGGGCTTATGGTGCAGGGCCGCTTGCTAGGGTGAACATCTGGATGCAGGGCACCATCTCGCTCAAAGCCATTCTCTTTGGTTCTAGTTGGAGAATGAAATAAAGAGACACATTTTTGACTCTGTATTTCATTTGTCACTGCATCTAGCAGTAATTAATAGTTAAAATTTAAATAAAATAGAAAATTTTAGTTTGGGGACACTACAATAACAAGGGACTCTTTTGGAGGAATCCTGACACAAGTGACACTGCATTAGGAATATGCAGAATTATTTCGCTGTACTGGAAATTTTTTTCACAATTTCCAAGTAAAATAAGACCAGTATGAGACCAAATATGTCTGAAAGGTTTGCTGTTGTTGCCTGACTTGAACATATTCTTGTTAAAGTGAAAGGCAAATAGCAAAGTACCTCTTGAGGCACAATGGATCCATAGAAAAAGAGAAGGGAAATAAAAGGAAAGAATGCAGGCACAAATCAATGTGACGCTGATATCATACCTATTAAAACTGTAAAACTGATTCAAAATTTGTTTGTGACATTTATTACATACAAACATTTGAAACACATCATCATATCATAACAATTGTACCATCCCTTTGTACTGTGGTGAAGGCTTGAGCTGACCTGCTAACAGACAAAAGAACTGCAGTGAAAGGCTGTTTTTTACAGGAATCACCCTGGAATTCTTCCATTGAAAACACGTCCATTCATACATGCACACATACACAACTAAAGCCTGAACACAAATTACCGACACACACAATCATACAAACTCGCTCAAGTAGCTTCCAGGGGATCAGGTGGATTTTTGTTAGCCTGCTTTCAAAGATTAATGTGGCCAGGTGTGTGTGTGTGTGTGTGTGTGTGTGTGTGTGTGTGTGTGAACGCATGCTTTCACATGTGTCTGTGTGTGTGTTCTCAGCTTTGTCAGTTCACAGTTAAATCTTGCCAAACCCCAAGCCCCCCCCAAGCTGAAATCCCCCACTTCCTTCTCTCTCTCTCTCTCTCTCTCTCTCCTCTTCCACCCCATCTCTCTCTCCGATGAACAGATTGAACTTCTTAATGAGCTGCTTTTATGGGCTCCTAATGCTCATCCACAGCTCTCCATATGCTCTTTCCCTCCATCCGTTTGTCTCTCGCTGCCTCCCTCGACTCATCCATCCACTCTTATCTCCCCAGCCTTCCTGCTGTAACAATGTTTATATCTACAGGCGCTGCAGTACACACATGTTCAGTCACCTATACAATGCACGGACGTGTGCACACATAATTTACCTAGTGTAGATACATACATGCCCAATTTATGTACACATGTCAATAACATTTTAATACTTGTATGTATTTATTTTATTTCACATAAAAAAGACAACAAATACTGCTTATTGAAATGACAAAGTTCTATCTGGGCCCATGCCTATCATGATAAAAACACACACATAGATGTGAAGAGGAAATTGGGTTCAAACTGTCTCTATGGAAATGTGATTAAACAGCATCTCATAATAAACAACATTCATATACTGGAAATCTTCAAATTGTAAATGAGAATACTTTTTTACCTCAACTGAAGAAAACTTTATATATAACTTAATCTGAGACTTTTGATTTTAGAGACAGGGCTTTTAGTTCAAATAAATAATAAATAATAAATAAATTAGATAATATTTTAGGAAAAAGCCTCCATGTATTTTGATCTGCACCCCTTTATTGTTATACAAATTCATCAGTTCCCTTATTTCAGTTTTTTAGGGATGGCATATTTCCTTTACTTGCCTGGAAGACTTTTATAGTGAAACATCTGCATACGTGTTACATTATGAAAAGCAGAATGGATAGGAATTAATCAATTAGTGAGTGAGAATAGCATTTCTATTAAAAGTAATTGCTGAATGATACTGAATTTACCATACAAGTCATTACAGTGCAGGTATTGGTAATTCTGGACTCCTAGCTATTATTTAAATATCAGCTATTGTTATAGAGTAATTATGGTATACACTGTATGTCTGTTTTTTTCTCATTTGCATATTGTACTGTGATGTTCCTGGTCTGCAGACCACGGTATTAATCAGGATGCACTGATAGTGCATTGTTGTCTGTAATTAAGGATTCCCATTCAAATTCCGATATTCCAACACAGGCCTCCCTTAAGCAGGAATGCAGAGCAGAGGTAAGCAGAAACCAGAGGTGCTTAGCCAGCCATATTGGTGCTGGAGCCTCATCTGTATATGTTATCAGCCCATCTCCCTAGGCAGGCACACACGTACGCACGCATGCACGCACGCACGCACGCACGCACGCACGCACGCACGCACGCACGCACGCACACAAGCACGCACTACACCCAAACATTTATAGAGGTGCACATACATGAAACATACTCACACTTTCACACTTGATAGAGAATCATGCACACACACATTCACACAAACAGCCCACATGTTTTCACTGAATACAGATGCCTACTTACTTTTTCTCTCTCACATTCACACACACACACCTTTTCCCCTAAGCTCACTCCCCTATGCACCAGACGGCTCGCAAATATGCAGGTATTACAGAAAAAGTCTGCCTATCCGACTGTTGGGGGAAAAGAGAGGTGAGAATTATTAATATTGCATTTGGCATTTTTGTCCCTCAGCAGATATGAAAAGTACATTTTCCTCTCCCCTACCTGTATTAAAAATTTTAGACCCCGGGGAATTACCCTTTATTTCAAAAGACCATGCACACATTGTACTTGTAGCAGACTCACAACAACACACAAATGTTCACAAACTTCTGTCCAAGAAGTAAAAAAATCCACTTACACACCCAGTCAAGCATGGAAGTAAATGATAACTTAGGTATCAAGAACATACACGGAATACATATTCACACACATTAATTGACACATTCACACTTTTCATTAAGGCACAGCTGTCTTCCTTTATTTTTCTATCCTCAGGAAGTGTGTGTGTAGCCAGGTCTATTTTTTCCATCTCTTCCTCTCCGCAGTTCTGGCCCATTAAGAGAAGGAGCCAGGAGCTGAGATGTCCAATGGAGCATGTCATGAGGCCCGGTGGCGCAGACACTTCCCATACATACATTAACACATCATACTATTGCCTTGCATTGGCTCAGCCTGTGTCTGTGGAGTCACGTACAGGGATGCAGGCAGACTCAAAGGGATTCATGCATGAGATCAAACAATAGAGGAATAACAAGCCTCAGCGGCTTTAATGTTTGGAGCTGGTAAATTTATAACCTCTACATCTTGATCGGTGTGCATTTATGTTATGATTCCAACACATATTTGTCCCATAATGAATAAATAATGTTTGACTTTCTGATTCACCCACCTGTCTGGCGTCCTTCTCTTGCCGTTCTCGTTGACGTCCAGCAGGAGTTCGGAGGAGTCCACTGGGGATGTGGTGCTGGTGTCCAGGAGCAGCTGCTCATGCTGGGCCAGGTACTGAGCTGGGTTCTGCTTGGCCAGTCTGGCACAATGCAGCAGCTCCCTCTGAAGGAGCGGCAGGTTGGCCTATACAGAAGGAAACAGCACTGTATTACCAGAGGGAATTTAACAAAGGCACGTTTTTTTGGACAACACTGACAATCAGCACTGTTTTTTTGGACAACACTGACAACAGGGAAGCAACAATAAGAATATAATTATCACATCTGCCTTTTTGCCTTTCAACAAATGAAAAAAAAGCACTTGCTCAGTCACTCGCTCCTCTTTCGAAGAGGCACTCTGTTTAGTTTTTTGCTAATTTTGGAAACAATGACAATATTATGTCAGATTCTGAGCTGAGCTGTTTATATGACAATATATTAAATAGATATCATTTGTAGTGAAATCAGAATTGTGGAGATTTGGAACTGCATAAAATTATAATGCAAATAAAAATGTGTCTGCATTGCTTTAAGGGTAATCTAAGCTCTTAAAAGAGAAACTATGCAGTTGGAATATATCAGTTCTACTCTACAAAATATGTTTTTGATGATTTATATAACAACAAACATCAATTAAACCAGATTGATGCATCTATTTGATCTGAAACAAAATGCAAAGCTCTAAAACATCTGACTACAGACAGCTTGTTTTCAAGAAATATAACACACAGAAATGTATTATCTCACAGTAAGCCACACACAAAGATCGTGTTATAATAAAAGATTTTCCGCCGTCTTTTCAGTTCAAAAACACCAATTTGAGGTAACAAGAGATCCATGTCTTCCATGTCATCTACTCCCTGTTTGCTCATTACCACCGAACCACCACCACCACTTCCTGTGACCCAGAGTGCATTAACACCCAAAGAGTTTCTCTATGGCATATACATTTTTTAAAAAGGAAAAAGAAACAGCAGCTATTTTCAATCTCTTTGACATAACAAGGGGGTCTGCTTTCTTGTGTGGAGTTACAGGGTCATGCAGGTATGTGCGCATTGACTTCAAAGACATCTGATGGGGTGCATTTTGAAGCAAGAAGATGAAAGTGTTGCATCAGGAAGGTTCAGAACGAAAGTGGTAGCTATTTTGGCCAGGTACATCAAGAGACTTTGGAGTGGCCATCTTTGTAAGTTTTAGGTCTGTTAATCTTTGTTTTGTTCTCAACAACGTAATCTCTCTCTACGTCCCTTGCTTTGTTTTTCCTTTCCTTATTTTTTCCAGTTTTATAATCCATAGGCTTTTGTTCACTCTTTCGCCATTTCTTTCCTCTGACCTATGAATTTTCCTCCATTTCTTTGAACCATTCGATCTTGTCTTTGCCAATTGCATACAGAAATAATACTCACAAAACACAACCCTGATTTGTTTAGTGATATTTATGTTTCATAATCATACAAAAATCCCTCTTCAGTAATTGGCTGTAGTAAAAGAAATGCCAAGCGCTGCATGGCTATCGCTTTACCTGCCCGAGTTAATGGACCGTTAATAGTTTATGATCGTAATTACCCCCTGAAAAAAGAGCATAAAATAGATTGCTTTGACCCCGGTGAACTCATCTTTCATTAATTAGAGGTCATTCTAATTGCCAGAGATGTGGGATGCATTAACAAAAAGACTGAGTCAAGAAATGCAGACCACTGGAGAGGCCAGATCATTTTTCATATGATAAAGTATGGCGATTTGCTTCTGTGCAGTTACAGCAACCAACATCTGCACTTGCATAAAGGGAAAATTTCAAGTAGTGTTCAGCAGTCACAGTTAAAATCCGCCCAGGATGATTTATTGTGAAAATACAGGATCTGTCATTTTGTCAAACGGTGCCAAAAAACAATTCAGAATATGCCACGTTCAGGATATGCTGCACTTCATCACCTTTCTGTTTCTGTGTAATTTGCAGTTGGAGGAGAGTCTAGGTGACTTTTTGCACGTCTATATTGTCCTGTTTCAATTATTTCCTATCACCACTCTCTCTCCCTCTCCCTCTCTCTCTCTCTTTAGCTAAATGTGTTTATTCCTTCGTCTCACAGCACTCCTCTCACTTCAGCATGACACAAGAAAAACAAAACACTTGACAGCTAAGCTGAGAGCAAACTTTAAAAAAGCTTGAACTTGAAAACAGAGAAACATTGTTGCTTTGGAAGCCTGTTGTCTCGTGAAGCGGGCGTCCCGCCAACACATCACGTCATTGGCGCTGTGTGGTTTATGATTGCCTCTTTCCAGTAAAGAGTCCCAACCAATTTGTGGTTTAGTATTAAGAGAAGGGGAAAGGAGTTGAGTGGGTTTGGGTGGGAGTGGGGGTGCGGGCGGGTCGCCTCGGTCTAACATTAGCGTAATGAAAAACTCTGAGCCCTGATGCGCATTGTTGCAGCTGTGCTTCGACGCACCTATAAAAGCACCCCTACACCTCCAACTGTTCTCCGCTACCATATGGTAGCTGGCATTATAGGCCCGCAGTGGGAAGACACTAAAATTAGACCGGGGAGAGAGAGAGGTGGAGAAGGAGCGATGGAGGGGGAAAAAGAGTTGCATCTTTGATTCCGCAGCCATCCCAGTGATACACTAACCATCTGGCGAGGAGAGGAGAAAGGAAGGAGGGACTGGAGGATGGAGAGATGGGGAACCGTAAACAGAGACAGGGAAGGGATAAAGACAGGAAAATATGGCGGGAGAACAAATGAGAAGGTGAGTCAAAGAAGAAAGAGATGAAGAAAACTTAAGCATGAGAGAATATATGTAACGTAAGGAAGGAGACAGGGAGGACAGAAAGTCTCTGTTTGTGTTGTTAAGAGCCAGTAACGGTGATTCTAGTGGGACCAATTTCTGCTGCCCACATCCACGCAGGCCCTCAGTGGATAATACAGGAATGTGAATGGCAGTTCACACATACACACATCTGCAAATGCACACACGCATACAGACAGAGTAAAGTGATGATATTGTGCTCAGAGAGGACCGACTGTCTTGCTTTCATAAATAACATTTACCCCATGCCTGACACAAACAGATAGAGCAGGGGAGGGAGGGATAGAGAATAGATAAAGAGGGAAGAGGTAGACCGAGAAGTCAAGAAGATGATTTAAGGGGGAAAAAATCAGTAAAAAAAAGTGAGAAAACAAAACAGAGCCTTTTCAGAGGTGTGTAATAGAAACAAATGAGCCCTGTGTTAAGAGTTATGCCCGTCCATGCCCTCCATGTCTCTGTACCACACTGATATTGATCTCAGCTTCACCCAAACCCCATAACATGATCTAAACTGCTGCTGCACAGTACATCCCTCAACATAAATCCAGTCCCATTTGTCATCTTTGACTACCAAAACAAATCACACCACCTCCGCCACTGCTCTCACCTCCAGACTGTGTTAGCTCCTCAAATCCAGCAGACATTCGGAAAATACACCTATCTGACACAAACATCCCAAATACACATAAATGGCCACTATTTCACCTGTAGATTCAAACAAAAAAACCACAATCACTCTTCCTTTTTATCTCCCAGACTGGAAAAAAGAGATGTGAGGCACGCTGTTGTGACCGAAACAAGGCGACCGTTGACAAATGGGCTGAAGCAAGGGCACGGCTGGATGCTTTAAAGAGTGCTCCTTCCTCTGGTAATATACTATGCTAATGGCTGAAAATGGAAAATACTGGCTGAAAATGTGGCCTGGTGGAATAAAGAAGCAATGACAAAACAAGCCTGAGTGAAAGAGGTGGAGGATGCCGGAAAGGAGGACATGAAAGGGGACGTTGTCCTCAGGCCGAACCCACACTCATTGTGCTCTTTTCCAGCACACCTTAAGCAGGATTCTCAAAAAAACAAAGCAACTTCTTTCCAGTTCAAATATAGTACAGAACAAATATGGTTTGAACAAAGTTGCTAGCCTTGGGTTAAACGGAGTGAACATAATAGAGTGAGATCAGCATCAGTACTGAAATGACTTATACCCGGTTTAATTTGGAGGAGAGATGATGTGAGAGACAGAATGAGAGCGACAGTATCTTGTGAAGTTCTAGAGAAGCTGAGTGAAGAACGAGACAGTTTAGGCATACGAGAGAGACAAAGATGCAAAGAGGAGAGAGAAAAACAGGGAGAAAAATCACAAACATAAGTATGCACGTCTGGATCTGAGCTGGCGAAATGTTTTCCACATTTGGTCGCTCAGGCGGACAGGAAGGCCAAACCTTCTGTAGTAATTGTATATTTAAATATCTACCTTCAGAAAGGGAATGACAAAAGGTCGCAGAGGGAAGTTGGTGGCTTCTTGGAGCTTGGAGTGAAATTCTTCGATGGTTAGCGTGGAATTCTGGAGGAGAGAGAGAGACAGAGAAAAAACACATGAATCCATGTGGAAGGCATTAAGTGATAATATTACTTATTGGAAGCTAAGCTATATCCTGGCCTGGAGTGAATGTTTTGTAATAGGAAGCATATGGGCAAGCCACAGTGAAAAAAGCCACAGAAAACAAAGACACACATTGCCTTCTATTAACAAAACAAATACAGATGCAAGATCAAAAAATCATCATCGTCAAAAATATGCTGCATGAGGGAGTAATGTGCTTAATTTCTATTAACCAAAAATGCACTTTTTCAACTTCTGGTTGGTGGACTTGAACTTTGTATTTATCTACATATTTATCTAAAATACCACTTTTCTTGCAGTTGTGTTTATTTTTTATTTTGTCTTTGTTTCCATCACTTGGGCATTCATTTGGATGTTCGCACACATGCTTTCTGATGTATACGTGTACATGCATGGCAACCACGTCCTTATCAACACAGGACGTGAGCACACTTGTGCCATATTGCTCGACACCTGTGTTACCTCTCTCCATCAGTGCCAACCGACACACTGTCTGTCTCTTTTCACAGACTAGATAAGACCATGGTGACCAAAATACATTATAGTGGCATGGACCAGGAAAATGTGCAGTAGACACGGAGCAGGTTGTATATTTAGAGTAAGAGGGTGTTTGTGTGTTTTCTGGGTGCTAACAGGAAGAGAGTATAAGTGTGTGTTTGGAGCAGTGGGGGTAGAAAAGTGGGTTATACATTTCAGTTTGTCAGCCCTCTACACCCAAACAAAGTCTAGTATCTGTCTCTCCTTCTTTGGTTGCCTGTAACATTAATGGCTGACAAGACAGCGGTGACACTATTTTTAATTTTCAACATGAACTATTCCCAAGATGCAGACCAGAGAGAAAGAGTAGAAAAAGAATGAGGAAGAGGTGAGCATGCACATGGGAGAAGAATCTGCTCTATAACAAGCAAAAATACAAACAAGAAAAAAAAAAAAAATCAAGCGAGACGGAGCAGCAGATATTATTTTTCCTCCCCACACTCTCGCCGTTATTTCCCAGACCTGAATTTTGTTACATTCAGCCTTACATCTGTTCGCCCAGATTGCGTAGGGGCTGTTCTTGACAGCTATTGAAACCTCCTGAGTCTCCCTCTCTCCCTCTTCCCAGCACACAACTAGCTAATTAACGGTGTCACTCTTTTCAATAAGGCAGGGGGAGGGACAGAGAGTGAGAGAGGAAGATGGGGGGAGAGAGAGAGAGAGAGAGAGAGAGAGAGAGAGAGAGATGGATGGTGGTGGTGGGGGGTTGCAAGCCAGAACGACACAGGAGAGGCATGTGCATATGCAGACGGTGAGAAAAATAAACATAGTGAAGCCAAAAGGAGGCTATGCTCTGTGTGGCTAATTAAAAAATTCTTCCCTCCATCTCCTCCGCCTCCTCCTTTCTGCACAATGTTCAATCACTATTTCTGTATTCCCCTGCTCCTTATGCTCAAATTTTTTCAGATCACGCAGACCTGTTGTAAATCCTTAGATTTGCACATGTATTTTATATAGCCTTCATATCACCATGTCAGCTAAGCTGGAGAAACACTGCACATCTGTCTGTATTAAATGTATTTAGATGGTTGCAGCAACAACACCGTTTCATCTTTGTTATTCTTTGCACACATGTTGATTATATACTATATTATTAGTGCATACAAATTCAAATTTAGGTTTTGAATATCACATGCTGTTTTTATTCACTTTTATGTACTGGATCTTAATTTGGGTTAGAAATGTGATTATCAGTAATGCTTTCATTAATGCATCCTCTTAAAGCTGCAATCACATTTTTTGCTTTTATTAGCTAAATAAATAAATAAATAAATGAGGCTTTAATACAGCAACTGAGTCATGTTTGGCTGTCAGACAACTGCACATCCTTAGTAAGTTCGATGTTAAAATAACAAGTCTATGCAATTAAATCCAAAGTGGCTCATGCGCAAAAAGACGGTAGTCTCCTGCTTTGATGTTACTGTTTGTCCCAGATGACAAAATGCTGCCATTGTTTTGCATTAACACTGAATAATGGGCTGCAAAGTAGTGATGGATGTCAATCCTGGTGGCAAAGATCTGTGTTCATTTTACACTTATGCCTGAAGGACCAGATGGGTGAGGTTTCTGACATACCTCATGAGGTTTTCATAATCAGCGATAAGTATTTAAAAGAATTCATCTTTGTGACTGAAAATTAACCTGAGACTATTGAAACTTTCTGATTCGGTAAACATTTTCCATCTGGTAGCCTACTTCAGGCATGCTGAACAAATGCCAACTAATGGGTTCACTTATTCCTGCTAACTCGAGGCCCTTTGATCTTAAGCTCACACATACACAGTAGCCACTCACCACTAGTCCTAGCACTAATGTGCGGACCCGCTCGCCGATTTCAGGTGAGATGTCGTTGCCAAACTGCTGTAGAGTTGTGAGGAAGCGCTTGAGCTTGCTGAGCTGCCGGGCGCCGCAGGCCGGCGGCAGCTGCTGGTTGGCCAGCGAGGACGAGGAGGAGGAGCTAGGGCCATTGCTGTAGCCGTTTGGAGGGGATGGAGCACCGTTGAGTGCCGTAGGTGAGTGGCTACTGCCATTAGTTACTGCGTGAGATAAGCACATAAAGAATATCATTAAGAGAAAGGAAAGCAAAATGAGAAATATTATATTAAAAAAAAATCTTTGAATGTTTTTTGTAAATAACATTTCCATAGAAACACACTGCTGTGCAAAGTAACACTGCGTTCGCTTTTGCTATGTGCAAATCTCCAAAAATAACCTAAAATCCCTGACTGTGCCTTTGACAAATGACAACAAAGGAAACAACATATGTCAGCTTCACTGAGACCTAACCTCTGATTTGAAATGATTTACATTCCCCTGAAAACATTCACAATCTTCAACATTTGCGTCCAATCATCGTGGCTTGTTTGATCCTTTGCGGTATTGTCTCATAAAAAACATATTTCTGCATTTGGAGACATATTGCCTACACCTCCTTCTCCCTTTCCCTCTTTTCCTGCAGTCTAAACAAGCAGGGACAGTGTGCCCCCCCCCCCTCGACCCCATTGTTCGCGCCAGAGCACGGGAGCAGTGCATGTGTGTGTTGGGTGAGTTGGTGTACAAAGAGATACAAGGGGGCATAAAGCTTTCTCTCTAATGAGATTAGGTTTTGACTAGCGATCAACTCACTCCCCCTCTGGCCGTCATCCAAAGCCGCCACTGTAAAGAGAGGAGAGAGACGAGATGCTCAAACTGCATCTGGTAACAATTACGTCGGGTGGAAATCAAAGCATACTGCTTTGTTAAAACCTTCGGCATGTGTAATGAGAGAGCTGGGCCTTTCCTCCCTCATCGCACTGAAGCACCGATGTTAATTGTGGAGTGTAAGCGTTTGCAGCAGAGAGACAGACAGAGAGAGGGAGAAAGTAAATACCAGAGAAGAAGAAAGGGAGAGTAAGTGATTGAAAAAGAATAAAATAATGCCTCTGTTGCAGAGAACCAGCTCTACTAACGCAGACTTGAGTGCCTTGAGCATTCTGAACCACAGGGCCTTCGATTCTTTGATTCTAGTGCTCTTCATGCAAGTGGTTAAGTATGCACTTCTGAGTGAATACTAGGGTGTAATTTGCTTGTCATGGGGCTACTTGCACGTCATGGCAAAGCTCCAACAGTTTGTATGAGTGGGCGTTAATGAACTTGTTGGAGAGTTGTTTGGAATGACTGCAATTCGGAAAAAAGCTCAATGCAACTGGTTAAGAAGATGTTGTGATGCTGATGGAAATTTCACTTTTTATTTCTTGGTTTTACCGAAGCGCATCGCGATTGTCTTCCCATGTGTGAGCACATGTATCTCTGCTCTGTTTTAGAGTGTTGCTGTGTTTATTTACCATGGGTGTCTTCAGGTGGAATTATATTTATGCAGTGTCATGTAGAGTACAGCCATCCCAACATCAATTTAGAACTGATTTATAATTCAGTATCACACTGCACCTGTTGATGCAACAACCACTCTATTATATGCAGGGATTCACCAACCCAACCTTTTATCTCCCAATTGTGATACCACAACTCATTATATCAGCTGATACAGAGTACAAATCCAATACCAGTGCTCTCTTTTCCCAAGTTTAAAATCACCACACTACATGGAACTGTGGTGGGCTATGCTGTGGCTACATGAAACTTTTATGACATTTAGAAAGTAACTGTATTTAACGTGGATCTCTTACCCAGATCTGCTATATAAAGTCAGTATTGGTGCTGAGATGGTGCATCGCTAATTATATGGATGTGTGGTACAACATTACCCCGTATCATTTTTTAATTATATACTACACATTACTTGTGTTTACATTCTTTCTCTACTTTGTGCTGTAAGGCACTAATACTCCTACTTAAGTAGAAGACGACTGCTGTGAAATCATTAAAAGGGGACACAATCGTGTTTACATTTTTATATTAACTTTGTAACAGAGAGCAATGATTGCGGCGAATCAAAGGTTTGCAGTGGGAATTGCTTCACTATATGTTTGTTACTGACAAGGAGAAAATTACTAAGCCTTTCTTCAACTTGCTTAAAATTGCTTTCATTATCTGCAATCAAGCATAACTGTTGTTCTTTGAAGGTCTTTGACGCCTGTGGCATAGTTGATGTGTACCTCCGTTGCTACAACATAACCCCTTACGCAGAACTGTAAACTTGGCTTTACTCACATGTGGTGGGGGTGTAGGAGCTGTTACGGGGTGCTCCTTGCGTGCTGGGTGGGGGCGGCATGGTAGGGGGAGTCAACCTGGACTGTGTTTTGACGTCCGCAGGTGAGTCGGGCATGGTGGAGTGCTTCCCAGTGCGATCTGAAGGAAGACAAAAGAGACAAGCAAAGGATTATAATAACATACCAAAAAATAACATGCTGATTGTTTAATATGGGAAATAAACAACAGCTCCGGGCAACACATTCCACATCTGTGCGCCTCGAAAGGAACTAAGTCATACTTTGCACATAAACAGCAGCAGGATTTAATTTGAAAAGAAAGCGCCTGTGAGGTGCACCAGACAGATTAGTTCTGGATGGAATAGATGGCTCACATCATATGTCTGCATGTCTTGCCACAATCACACTGATGAATATGCTCAGACTGTCAAGTGAGAAAGGAGAGAGAGGAGAGACTCACAGACACACAGAGACAGACACAGAGAGGAGCGTAAATCTGCAGCGACTACGGGTCTCATTCAGCCACCATCTGTGCCATCCTGCATGCCCGCTGTACAGAACAGTGACACAACCTCCCACCCACCCCCTGCTAACACTGCAGTGCTCATCCTCTCCTCTAGACCATGCACACACACACACACACACACACACACACACACACACACACACACACACACACACACACACACACACACACACACACACACACTGTCCTAATGCTTTTATCTCTGGAAACTATATTCACATCTGTTCAGGACTGGAAAACAATAGAAAACCAACTAGTCAATGAACTAATTTATGATGGCAAAATGTCAAAGATTAAGGTCAAAAGAACATTAATCAAAAACAAAATATTTTCTTTGATGACATGCTTAGTTTGACCTAATTCAGTTGCATTGTGCTCAGCAGATAGCTGACCATATCAAATGTATGAGAAAAACAACAAGACATTGTCTGTTTCTTGCACTGGTGTGAGGGTGGAGCCCATATTGTGCAGGATGAGACTTCCCTCAGCAAAAGCAATAACAAGCATATCACAAAGTTAACAGACTGTTATCAACCATCTCTGTGGCACATTGTGAAGGTGAAATTATAAAAATAAGGACGAGAGAAGGAGCAGGGTGGATGGAGAGAAGAGAAAAGAGAGAGAGGAGAGAAAGGGAAGAGTTGCATGGAGAAGTCCTATCTGTGACATTGGGAACATATAGCTGTAATCAAGGAGTGGGCATGTGCTTTGACTCAAGGACACACGCATGCAGGATAAAGGTAGGCGCACACACACTGTAATCAGGGTGGTAAAGGTGCATGTTCCAGAAAAAGCGAGGTCCCTGTCACACATTCCTCTCAAGACCCTAGAGTGTGTTTGCGTGCTTGTGTTTTTGTGCATGATGAACATGCAGGCTAATATATTATCTTATATTTTACATGAACCTATGTTCATTTTTCATAGTTTCCCTCAGTGTTTAGGTATAGTGAAGTGTATATGGACTATATGATTGCTAGTGTTGTTGCTGACTGTTTGGATCCACAGAGTTAAGTTTAGGTGAAATGAAAGAGAAATACTGATGCTAGAGAGACAGGATAGCCTAAGCCTGTTAGCTAGGCCCACGGCATCAGTAGCACTCTGGCTCGCTGCTGCTGAGGTGCACTGTGACTAAGTATTTTAGTCACGCTAGCTCTGCTTTAGCAGGCAGGCAAGTGAGAGATGGAGATGTCACTGAAATTCCAAATACAGAGTGCTCCATAGCTCCATTTCCGGATTTAACGTTTAGTTCCGTTTTGTTTATTGTATATGTTGACCCTTTGAGAACTAATATGAAATATACAAGATATATTACATAAAGATTACACCACATAACAATTGACCAGCAACATCTTCAAACAGAAATGAGATAGCATCTTTAAGCTTTAAAGGTTTTCTGAGAAAAACTATGACCACACTAGCTCCTAGAAGCTACACTGCTCCCTGTGTTTTACTGACTGACACTGCCATTCTTATAGCTCCTTGCTGGTACACTGACATGGGCAATAATAGTCTGTTCAAGATTTTCCCTTTAAATGGTGAGAAACTGTACTCTTTGGGATATTCCAAAGATCCTCAAGGCAAACAGATCCCAACCCATTTAGTCAGACACTGTCAAAGGACAGAAAAGGAAGATTAAAGAATCATCACGTCACTCCCAAGACAGGGGTCACACATCTCCCTACAAACCACAGACATCCCTCAGTAACCATGCACACCCTGGAGCCGTTTTAGGAGGGGTCAACTGATAAATTCACTGGGAAGGTTGGATTTATCAGGCTCCCAGCACACTGCCAAAAGAAACTGGGTGACTTTTAGGGTGAACTGTGAGATCCAGACCAAGTCTGTGAACCAGAACACAACAGACCTTAAGCCAAAACATTTTAGAATTACTGGGATAGCGCCAGTTTGTTAAATCTCTCAAATTAAAAAATATTGTTCTCGTTTGACCTAAAATGTTATTCAACTGTACTTTTAAAATAAAATTATTAATTTTAATCATTGACTCTTGCTACAACACAAGCTTTAACTCTGAGAAAAAAGCGATAAATTGCAGAGAGCAGCATGAATGCTTTCAGAATATAGAGATGAAAAATGAGTGATGAGGAAAGCAGAGAACAGAGGAATTGAGGTGAAAAAAGAGTCAATGTGTAGAAATACATACAGAGAGAACAGAGATACTGTCCAAACCTTTAACTGTCTATTTGCTGTGCTTCAGCCGTCTTCCCCTCGCTCTACCGCTCTCTCTCTGTCACACACACACACACACACACACACACACACACACACACACACACACACACACACACACACACACACACACACACACACACACAACCTTCCTCCCATCCTCCCAGCCTGGCCGGACTGAGAAATGTTTACTACTCAAATTTCACCACAGTAAAAAAGTATGGACCTGACTATTTATTTTATGAACTTGCAGAATAGCTAGTGGAAACATGTATGGTCTTACCTCTGGCTGCCAGCTATCATATCCTGTATGCCTGCCTAAAATATGATCTATGAAAATACAAGGTCATTAAAAAAGATGGCCCGGTGACAGGACCCAAGGTAATTCATCATTTTCCAGTCAAACACAAAGATCCTACATGTATATGGTTAACAAGCCCAAGTTAAATAAAGAATGTGTTACCATATCACACATGGTCCTACTTATCCTGTTTCGCTGGATCATGCTTTCCATAGTTCTGAATATTGTTTTTTCTAATTGTGTGCTGATTTTAGGTCCAGTTGCAATTGCTTGATAATAGGACATCAAATTAGGATCCAAATCATCTCATAATTACCTTAATCTTTGTCTCTAGATAGAGGAATGGATGATGTAAATGACAAATGTCACCACAATACAATTTTTCATCAGACATTGACCTCCAGTGCAAAGAGTACAATTATGTGTGGGCGATATGGCTCATAAATAATATATTGATATTTTAAGGCACTTTTGTCTAAAATAACATACTCAAATTTTGCAACCATGATGATTTTGTATAATAAGATGTACTGCTGTAGATTAAACTAAACAACAGTATATAAAGTAGTTAAATTAGCTCAACCTTAAACATCTACAGCAGTAAGAAGCAACATACACATTAATCCAGCAGTAATATTAATCCAGAAACATCATCTTCTTCCACCTCTGTAGCACACCCACAGCATAACTGCCCCTGTATTACCGGCTGAGCCTTCACCTTTAAGGAAGGTGGCTTTGTGGGCGACCAGTGAGTGTGACGGAGTCTAGAGGGTTTGTGAAAGCAAGTATTTCCCGGTGTGTGGGGGGATAAGTTACTTTAGTCAGTGTGTAGATGAGCTCATGTTTCAGTATAATAGTTACTGAACGGCTGTGTGTTGTGTTTGCTGCCACATAAAATAAATAAAAAGTCCCTGGTGTCCAGACCGAAAAGCTTGCTAGTTAGCAGGTAACGTTACAAGTCAGGCTAAAGTAAATTAAAATAGCCTAAAATCGGAGGTATCCCAATACATTTCGGAGATGGAAGCCATATAACATCATGATTTATCATCATTATTCTATTAGGATTTTTTTCTCCCACAGCGTAAAAATCACAGCGACTCACAGCTGCTATGCTAGCAATTCACCGTCTGGACCAACTCTGCTGTGCAGAGCAGAAGAGCCTTAGTAACATTACATAAGCAGGGACTTTTTTTTATCTATTTTCTGTACTAGCAAACACAACACAAAGCTTTCACTAACTAGTGTACCTGACTTTATCTACACACTTTATGTTTGAATAAAGTAACAAAAAAAACTACAAACACTGAACACTTAAATATGACGATATGGTTATCAGCTATATCGCACATAAATTAATTTTAAAATATATCAACTATGTATATATATATATATATATATATATATATATATATATATATATATATATATATATATTTTACCATGCCCTACATACAATATATCAATTTACAGAAAAGTGGGGTATTTTAAGTAAAGACTGGAGCATTATCCTTGGGGTATAACATATCTAAAAGAAACAGAAAAATGCTTTTCTTATAAGTCAACATTTGTTCACAATAAAAACTTGAAGAGTTTGAAAAGCACAATGTAAAATACATAAGGGGGAAAAGAACACAAAAGTCTGGACCACCAAAGTCAAGATCCACCTACATGGCCCTGCAGCAGTATGATGCAATGAGTTTGGTTACAGGCTTGTAATTGGGGATTAACACCTGGGTCAGTGTTGTGATTGGATGGCAGTCTTGGGTGAAAGTGAGAATAATATAAACCCTGAAAGCATTTAAACTTTGCAGTCCCTCCAGGGAAGATGAAAGATAAAGAATGAATTAGTGTAAAATCCATGTACATTGCAAATACATGTACATGCATCCAGGCAATAACACATTCTCTCTCTCTCAATTTATTATTTCAATTCAGTATGCTTTATTGGCATGAAAGTTTAATTCATGTTGCCAAAGCAACATTGAATATAACATGACAAGAATTAATGCAATCAAGACCATTCAATTTAGCTATTATAAATTACTGCAACAAAAATAACAAATACAGATATAACGTAAACTACAACAAGAATGAACAAGATAACATGCCTCTCTCTTTCTCTCTC